GGTTGGAAGGACAATAGTCGGTGGGCGACGTAAGTTAGAAGGACCGTAGTTAGCGGGCGATAGAGGTCGAAAGGAATATAGTCGTTGGGCGACGAAGGTCGGAATGACCATTGTCTAACAATGGAGATCAGAAAGATGTCGTCAGGTAGAAGTCCAGCTATGGATAGAAATCCCACATTGGATAGTTATTCGGCCAAAATCCAACAACAGGCAGAAGTCCGGTGTCAGGTAGAAATCTGGCGGCGAGCGGAGGTCTGTCGTTGGGTAGAAGTTTGAATTCATTCAATGGCCAGGGAGAGCTCTGGCATTAGTTGGTATTAGGGCAAAACTCCAGAGTCACTTGGAGATCGGGCAGAGTTTCAGCGTCACTAGAAAGTCGGGCGGAATTCCGGCGTCACTTGGAAGTCGGGCGGAGTTCCGGTGTCACTTGGAAGTTGGGCAAAATCCCAGCGATGATCAAGTAGGAGTATCTTCCCTCCTACTCTTATCTTCTTCTTCTTGCATGGGTCCCCTTTCAAGAGAAATGATGGTCTATTTATAATTTTTTTGTGGATGGCATGACCCGTAAATAGGAGGATCAATGGCAAATGTAGAGTGGTTCAGACGGACGATCGATATTGAATCCCTTGATCATTGACTGTTTGTCTAACATTTGAAGGTCTTAATGATATTGGAATTCGACGATCTTGGTCTTGTTGGATTCGTCTAGTCAAGCCGCTCGATTGGACCATAAGCATATCATGTTTGGAAACCCTTTGGTAACCCAAATTGTAGTTTAAACCTTCCAACCGTGCTTCGGGTCTTCGATTCTGACACATTTGGGCTCGGATTAAGTTGAATTTGATGTCGTTGGGTTCGTATTTCCTAGACGATTAGTTCGACTGTATGTTTGCTAAAATTAGAGTTCAGATGATCCCAGATTTATTTTTTGACATTTCCAGCTTGATTTTTCCCTCGAGATTCGTGCCCGATCAAGATAATTTTTTTATGACATATCACTTATAACATTATGCAAAGGGATTTTGGGAAGGACTGCATATGTTGGAATGAAGTTTTTAATCATGACTTACAGTTGATAAAAATTGCAAATGGTGGCTTTTGGCAGCCTTACAAGAACTACAAAACGAGACATATAAGGCAATGCATAAATAATTTTGTTGCTTGGAGATGATTTAGAGAGTCTTTGCATTATGGTGGCCAAGGTGGGGGTACCACTGGTTGGCGGTGGATTTTATAGGTAGCAAAGTCAGTATAGGTGAAGAGGAGGAAGAAACTTGATGGGGAGCAATGCATGAAAGGGATTTCATTATTTGATAAAGCCAATTACGGCAGGGTTCCTCATAAGTGCTTGGTTTGTCTTGAGATATTTTATGTGATAATGGGAGGCACCAAAATAGATTTTATAATTGCTATCACTAGTAAGAGATAATACTACGGTAAGAATATGAGAATAATCAGGTGTATGAAGAGTTTGGAAAGATGGAACTTACTTGGGGAGAAGATTTTGTTCGATGTATATAATGTGCAGCGAGGTGTCTGTCACGATCCGAGACGTATAGTGAAATTTTTTTTTTTTTTTTTTGTTCATTTCAATCTTTATTTTCTTGTCAATTTGTTCTATTAATTTATCTACCAGATCAACTTCAACATCCAAAACTAATTAATTACATTAAAGAAAACAAATAAATAGCTCACATTTCTATAGTCTAGAATTTCATCATACCCTAAATTAATTAAATTAAATATTTTTAAACTAATATAATAAAAAAAGTTTTAATAATTATTATTATATTAATTTAACAAATTAAAATGAATTGATATTGTTGAATAGATTAAATAATATGAACATATAACACATTAAAAATAATTATTAAGTAAGTATAATTTAAGTAAAAAAATACAACTAAAACAATGTAATATGCATCGCAGCTCATTGGATAAAGGGGTTAGTCATAGAGTTCGCACAGGTTCCGATTCATGGGCACGTAGAGTTCAGGCGGGTTCATGGGCCCATTCAGGCTAAAAACCTTTTGTTTCTATGCAATTTTTGGCAAAAATTTTTCGATGGTGTTTGTTTTCTGACGTGTGAATTACCGTCAGAAATATGCCAAAAGTATAAATTACCGATAGATTCTATTCATTTTCTGGTGAAAATGACCGCCAGAAAATAATGTTTTTCCTGTAGTGTTCTCCTTCGATTTCTTCCCGGCCAAGCAGCGTTGAATGAAGGGTGAGGGAGGCGGTGGGGTGAGTTTAAGGGAAAATTTATTAGAATATATTTTTAGTGTCTTAATATCATAAAGCTCAGATCCAACATCATACCTCCGCATGCAGAAATCAGGTTTATTGTAGAACATAAACACCAGTGTCGCGGTGGCGGTTTATAGCGCGACAGTGCTTTCAACCCTAGCGCTCCAGTGCTTTCAACCCTATCGCTCCAGTGCTCATATTTACAACACCGAAGTGCTCTAGTTCAATAAAAAATTTAAATAAAAAAAAAATCATATTTTTCATTAAAAATACATTTTGTATCTTGGGATTGTTACAATGTTGTTGCCAACAAAGTTTTGGTCTAATCCTTATGTGGTATAGGATGCTAAAGGAGGTCATGTTGGGTATAATGTGGTTGGTGTAACCCAAACCAAAGGAGTTAGAGTTATTAAAGGTGAGTAGTGCTATCAGAGCAATAGGTAGATTTTTGTTGTGGGGTATATTATGCTTCGAGTTGATTACAACAATGGAATGTTGTAATGTCCACTTTTTCTGCATGTTTGATAGATAGTTGGATTTGTAGGCTTTCTTGCCATGTTTTATTTCAAGGAAAAGTGATAGACCCATTGAGAAATCCCTCATATCCATTTTCCTTGAAGAGCCAAAGCTTTAGGTATTTTCATGTTGGTAATTGTCATTGGTTGATTGAATGTTGACACTCTGTTACTGGTTTGTGATGAGAAATTTAAGAGAGGATCAAGGATGGGTAATCGAGAGATGCAATGGTATCCGATAGGGAAAAAAAAGCTGAGTGCTCCATTCGTTGTGAATCCTTGTTGGGCATTATCATATGAGTAGCTCTAATGTCATGTTGAGTTATTTTACAAAGCGAAGGCTTTGTTTGTTGGAGCAAACAAGAAGTGAAAGACGAAAATAAGCAAAAAAAAATTCCAATATTGCTCTATTACATTGAATTTATAGAGTAATGATGAACGATCCTAATGGTGGAAGGTTGTTTGAAATATGCAGTTGAGATGAATTTGCAGATTGAGAGGCCACTCCAAGTGGTGGTGGCTGGTAAGATAGAGGAGATATTAAGTGATGGTATTATATTAATTATATGAATCTTTAAAGATTTATAGAACCACTATTCCATAAGTTTTTGTTAGTTGTCAACTATCTAATATAATCATTCATTTTTTCCCTCCAAATTTCTACCGCATAATTTCATATCTTTATTAAATATATATATTTTTAAAACAAAAAAGGTCAGCTGTCTACCGAAACCAATATCAAACTGGGTAATGAGCAAGGTGTAGATAGGAATGGTGTACAAAACAACATCATGCTACAATGTTCTTATTCAATGATTTCTACATAAAGCATATGGTTCCTTCTGCCTTTTTGTCCGACACTTTAAGGCAATTCTCTTCAAGTATTTTAAATTATTTAGCATTGTTATGGACTAGTGTAAAAGTTTGATGAAAGTCAAGAAAAACTTAGATGATAGTTGAGAAGAACTCCAACAGTGATCAGAAAAAATCATACGGTTGGGAAGAATCGGTGTTTAGGAAGAACGTCGGCGGTGAAGAAGAAGGACGTCGGTGGTGGAAGAACATCAACGATGGTCGATGGCAAGATAGCTCTCCAAATCTTCTTCTCTTCACCCTCGTTCTCCCTCCTTTGTGTGAAGATTGGGGGCCTATTTATATTTTTTTGATAGTGAAATGACTTATTAATATGGAGAAGATCAAGTGTTTTAAATGGATGACCGATATCGACTCCCTCAATCATAGATTATTGATTAAGCATTTAAGTGACTTAATAATGTCAGAATTTGATGATCTTGGACTCGTTGGATTAGTCTTGTCGAGCCATTCAATTCCAATAAAAGCATGTCATATTTGATGATCATTTAGTTATCCCATTAATGCTTTGAAGCCTCACGTATGCTTTGGACCCTCAATTTGAGCTTAATTGAGCTCGGATTGGATTGATTTTATTGCCTTTAGGTTCGTCTCTTCGAGATGTTCACTTCGACTATAAATTTGTTGAAATCGAAGCTTGGATGATTTATATTTTAATCTCGAAACTTTCTTGCACTGATATGTCTTGAGATTTGTGTTTGATCAAGACAATTCTTTTTGTTATATATCAATATATAAAGATAATTTTTGATATAATTGTTAAAATTTTATTCGAAATTTTAAAGTTAAATTTGCTCATATCTAAATAATTATAGAATAAATGACCTCTTGAAAACTTTTAAAATTATGAGGCCATCAGATCAAATGAATAATATCTTTACTATTAAGAGTTTAAGTTGGTGTACAAATAACTTTAAGAAAGGTATATCTATAAATATAACTTTAGCATTTCATTTTTTAGAAAAAAATTATATTGATTCAAATACAAAATTATGTGCGTCACATATAAACTTATTATTAAAGAAAAATCAGATGGTATTAAAATATCATATTAAAGTATGCAATCTTAAAAATATATTAAAATATTTATGTTCGTTCAAGTTATTGTATTTAAATTATCATACGGCTCTTTTTTCTCTGGTAAAAAATAATGCAGGATTGGTATGATGTCCCATCAAATGATCAGTTGCCTCCCCCTGTAAATAATAATATCCCACAATTTTCTCCAAAAAAAAAAAACTGATATTTTGGTCATGTCAGCATCATCTTTATAGTCTCCTCCATCTACTTCTAATCTGAAATATTTATATCTCTGAGACTGAGATATCTCTAGCATCTTCACCATTAATCTCTAAATACATCTCTAAAATCTTCCCTATGCTTCCGGCCGCTAATTATGCCCATCCTTCCATTATGCTGCTATTTCTCTTCTTCCTTTGCATCTTCAGATGGTTTCTTTTTGCCTCAGCCGCATTCAAAGTTACTCATCTCCCAGGCTTCTTGCAGCAGGGTGCTTTACCTTTCCATTTAGAAACTGGGTTTGTTCTTTCTCTCCTTACTTTCTTTTTAAATCAATCCAGCTTGAGTCTAACTATTTAATAATTATGTGTGCTTGTCTTCAGCTATATAGAAGTGGATGAAGTTTATGGTGTGGAGTTATTCTACTATTTCATAGAGTCTGAAAGAAACCCGAGTGAGGATCCACTCCTCCTATGGCTTACTGGGGGACCTGGCTGCTCTGCTTTTAGTGGCCTTTCTCTCGAGATCGGTCTGTTTCTCTTCTTCGTCTATAAATTTTGTCTATGATCTTTGCATTATGACTATTTGTTTCAGTATTGGTTTCTCTTCTAATGTGCCCTTTAGATTGGACTGTTTGCTTTGATGTTTTCAAGGTAGACATATTTTAAAAATACAAAAAAAAATTATTTTGTTAAATGCATTTAAATATTGTTTCTCTCTTTCTCGCTTTTCTTTTTTTCTCTCTTATGTGTAAGAAACTTAGGAGGGAGGAGATGTGGTAGGAAGCAGGAGGTAACGGGCGAGAGGGCCGCGAGCGACCGGGTAACATGGCGAGGATGCGGCAGCGCAAGCGGGTGAGGGGAAAACTAATTAGCGCCAGATTTTTTTTTTTTTGGGGGGGGAAAAATAAAGGGCATTGCCAATTTTGTATTAAAGAAGAACAAGTTACATGCGTAAAATAAAAAGTGAAAAACTACCTGAAGGTAAGGAAATCAAAAAGATGAGACCAAGCACAGAAAAAATGAGGGTAAAACAAAAAACATATCAAAAAATCATGTGTAACCGAAACTACACATCAAAATAACTGCAAAATCACAAAAAGCAACACAAAACCAGCAAGTAGGGAGGGCGGACTCAGTAATTTGAATTGCAATATGAAGGCTACAATTCCCCTGGTTGCATAAGAATGCCATGAAATGCTAGAAATATGCTTCAAACTGACATCCAAGGGGAGCAAAGGTGCAATCCGTCATCCTTGCCCGATCTCTATAACCAAACAGCTCAGGGGTCATGCAGGATTCTGTTCTTGAAGTACTTCGAAACAAGAAAAAACAGAGAGCGAGTAGAGCATAGAAGGGGGCGCCTCTTTAAAGCATGTCCAACAATACACATCCATTTTTCCATTTCACTACTTTGGTAAAAACTGCAATCTTAATCTTCTGACAGATAGTTGATAAAGAATGCTATGAGAATTCCAGAATTTCCTATCGTTTAGGATTTTGAAATGTGAAGAAAGTAGTGATCTTCGTTGATCCAAATGTCTCAAAATTCATATTATATTTATTTTATTTCAACTTTTAAAAAATCCTATAATATAAGAAAAAGTAATGCAATAATGGTCTTAATGTTTCTAGCCCAACGGCCATAAAATTGCCTCTTTCACTCAATCAAAGCTTCATGCGATGTCTCTCAATGCATGGATTACTGATTAGATATTTCTTTTGCTTTAAAACATATTATAAAGGCCCACTAAAATTCATATCAGAAAGGTACAACGGGAGCTTGCCAAATTTAGTTTATCACCCTTACTCCTGGAACAAGGTGAGCTATCTATCTGCAACAATATACGTAGATACATAACAATATTTGAATGATTTAATTTCATAAATATGTGTGGTTCTTCATTTCGTTTTATTAATTTGTAGATTTCCAACATAATATTTCTGGACTCCCCAGTCGGAACTGGATTCTCTTTCTCCAATCATCCACAAGGTTATGAAACTGGGGACAAATCTTGGTCAAAACATGCAATAATATTTCTCAGAAAGGTTGGCAAAGAAATTGGACTACATAACTGTTTTTAGTTTATGAATTATGTATTCATGATTGAACTCCCTGTTTCTTAATTTTCAGTGGCTTATAGACCACCAGCAATTCCTTTCAAATCCTCTGTATATTGCTGGTGATTCCTATGCCGGAAAGGTTGTGCCACTAGTGGTTCATAATCTTTTAAATGGTAATAAAAAACGTACGCGATGCATATTCCTCAATATTAATTTATTATTTTTTTGATCTTTGTTTAGTGATTACATTGTCAATTCCTTAACCATTTTGAACTGCAGAAAATGATTTGGAGGAACACCCAAAATTTAATATTCAGGTCACCCTTGATTACACTGATGAACAGTAAATTTTTTGAAATAGTACATACACTGAATTATTATTAGGTCTAACTATCAATTATTGCAATAATTATTTAGTTAAACATGCGGCTGTATCTTAAAAGAAAACACTAACTATTAATGTACTTTTTCTTTCCTTCATAAAGATAATAATTTGCACTATTAATTGAATGTTATTTGTATGAATTCCAATCTGCAGGGCTATGTGATTGGTAACCCATCAACAGGTGAGTTGATTGATTATAATGCTAGAGTACCATTTGCCTTCGGAATGGGGATAATTTCAGACGAACTATATCAGGTGATATTCTATTTGAAAACTTGTCGTCCAAATACTCTCTCTCTCTCTATATACACACACACATAATCACATGTGCTTCTGTACCTTGTTTCCATTTAAGGGAATTAATAAGAATTGCGAAGGGGAAGATTACGTTAATCCAAAGAGACCTCCATGTGCCTCTCTTCTTCAAATCTTTGAAGACGTAAGCATCCATGCAATCATCTCTCTCCCCTCTGCTCTTCATGTTTTTATTCATGATTTGGCTAATTCTGCCTTTAGTATTCTGCATTTTTTATTTTAAATTATCTGGCACATGAAGTTTCAACTATTCAATAGAAGGAATGATATAATTATCTTCTTCATTGGTTTGTCTTTGAGCTTCTATATCATCTTCAATAAATATCATAGCTTCTAATTCATGCTCATCAAGTGAAAGATTAGTAATTTTTAATATTTTCATATCATCAAGAGACTCAAATCCATATCGGAAATGAGAGAAACTTGCTCGCAAACACGGAAGTAAATACGACACGTCTTTTTTTTTCGGATTTCTTTTTGTTTTTCAACGGACACTCGTATCGGATACGCGTGTCCTTTTGAAATTAAATAGTATTTTAATTTGATACGGCTTTGGTATATCTGACACGTATCGGTGGAATATCGGAGGCGTATCCGTGTATCGGTGTATCGGATACAGCGCGCCTTCATAAATAGGTGTATCGGTACAACATAGGTCTTCTGTATCAAAAAGTAAAGGGTCATGTTTGGTTGGGTAAACCTTGGGCAATAATTTATGGTGTATTCATCGAATATGCATATGCAGTTCAAGTCAGAGCTTATGACATCACATATTTTGGAGCCCAAATGCAGTTTGGCTGCACCTAAGCCCAAAAACACTGCTGGTACTAGAAGGTCTATGCAGGTACAGGAGAGCAACACAGTTCTTTTCGGGCCTCCAATTCCTGAACTCAAGTGCAGAGTAATTGATTTTTCTTATTTTATATATTTTCTATGATTAATTAAGGCTTTGGAAGAAGAGTTTCTCTTATAATTAAGTATTAATAAATAATTGGGTGGGGTACACTGACTACAAATATGGCTGCAGACATATGCTTATTATCTCATGTATATATGGGCAAACAGCAACATTGTTCAAGAGGCTCTCAATGTCAAAAAGGTATAAGATTTTGAGTTATTCTCATATTAAATGCATGCATGGAACTGATCGATTATGTTTGAATGAAGCAACTTGGGCAAGAAATACAAATCCGTAAAAACTTTATAGAAAAATATTTGATGAGGATACTCTAATAAAATTTAGGTGGATATGATGAATTTTAAAACACATAAATTTAATTTAAAATTAATATAATTATTTAAAAATTACATATTTTAAAATAACTTAAAATTGAATCAGGCTATACAGACCCAATTTATTTCCAAATGTTATCTACTAATTATATGTTGGAAATAGGGAACAGTGAAAGAGTGGCAGAGATGCCTTGACTTGAATTATTATAAAAAGGATATAAGCAGCAGCCTTAAATATCAGGTTAATATCACAACCAGCGGGTATCGTGCATTGGTTTACAGGTGAGAGGCACAAACTTAGCTGACAGAAACTTTTTCAATCATTCAATCTGTTTCTCTATCTCTCAGACACATATATTTGTTTCTTTTGGTGCAGCGGTGATCATGACATGCTTGTCCCTTTTGTTGGCACAAAGGAGTGGGTAAAATCCCTTAAATTCTCTGTCACTGACCGGTGGAGATCATGGCATGTGGGTGGCCAAGTTGCTGGGTAAATCTTAATTACTTGCTCTTTAATAATGGGAAAATAATATATATTAAAAAAAAACTATAGTTGGTCGTGGTTAATTTTGGAGGAATGTATGAATTTATTTTTAAATTTTTTATAATAGCACATAATGATAGCTCATTTTTCTCTCATTGGCTCCATAGATACACAGAATCCTACTCCAATAATCTGACCTTTGCGACTGTTAAGGTAAAGCTTTTCATATTAAATGCTCTTGGTAATTAATTACTTGTAATTGATTTCTTAAGCTTGGTTTGATTGTATTTGTATCTTATGAATAGGGTGCTGGACACACAGCTCCGGAATATAAGGCTAAGGAATGTTTAGCCATGTTTCGAAGGTGGATTTCTCACAGATTACTGTAATTCATGCAACGCATAATGTGCACAGATTCATGGTGTGGAACCGCAAAACTTGTAGAGAAAAGAGAGATGAACAGGGCAAGAACAAGGCAGGGAATGAAGAAGAAGATGCAGAAAACGCGAGAGAGGATAAAAAGCTACTTTCAATATTTCATATCAAGTGTGTACCTTATGTATAATACTTCCTATATAACTAATTGTTGTAAAAGGGAAATAACTAGAGAACGTTCTATGATGCCCACTAGTTGGCATAAGCAATTAAACATAAATAAAGATAGTAGTGGAAGAAGCAAGTTCGGTAAGTGTGGCAGAGGACGGTAGCTGGTCCATTGGGTCAAGATAGTCCATATCAAATCTCCCCGGCTTCGAGAGGTTCCTCACCTGAGAAAATTGAGTGGGTTATACCTGTATGAGATGGCTTGTAAGCGAAGATGTCGGACATATTAAAAGTTGTTGGAGTTAGAAATTCTAGTGGAAGATCCACAACATAGGCGTTATCATTGATGCGCCTCAAAATGGGTACCGATCCAATTTTGAGTGGGCTTAACTTGGAATAAGTTCATGGTTGAAATCTTTCTTTGCGCATTCTGACTATTACCAGATCACCTGGATTGAAAACCGCCTTTCACCTGTGCATCGGCAAAGCTAAGATTACCTGTTTGTAGCTATCGTTAGCAGCTGATAGCTTGGCTTTGACATCTTCTAGCATTTTTGTATAATTTTCAGTGGTTTCAAATGCTGATTTGCTCTTCCATTTAGGGAGGATAGAAATATCAACAACGTGGTTAGGCACTTTAGTGTAGACAATGTTAAATGGATATTGTTCGGTGGATCGGTTGGCCATGGAATTATATGCAAATTCTGCTTGGCCTAAATAATCATCCCACTATTTTGGGTGTTCATGGGCTACACATCGTAGCATATTTACTAGCGAGCGATTAACCACTTCGGTTTGGCCGTCGGTTTGTGGATGGTAGGCAGAGTTGATTAATTTCAGTCCTTAGGCATTTCCACAATTCTCATCAAAATTGGCTTACAAATTTGTCATCGTGGTTCGATGTAATGCTGCAGGGCATTCCCTGTAGCCGGACGATCTCTTTAAAGAAGAGAATAGCCACGTTGAGAGCATCGAAAGTCTTTTTACAAGCGAGGAAGTGAGTCATTTTGGAGAACCTGTCGATGACGACCATTATGGAATATGCATCTCGCTTTGTTCGTGGCAATCCCAAAACAAAATTCATGCTTAAGTCTTTCCAAATGGAATTCTGAATTCAGCAGTGGTAATGGCATATATAACCCGGTGTTCTAGGCCGTTCCCTTGCATGCTTGACAAATTGGACACCTCTCCACAAATCTTATAACATCACGATGCATGTGTGGCCAATAAAATCTATTATGCATCTAATCTAGTGTTTTGGTCTTGCCCGCATGAGCGGCTAATCCCCCACTATGCATTCCTTGATAAGATGCTCTCGCCATGATGAATCTGGTACGCACAACAAATCTCCTTTGAATAAATAATCAAGCCAGAGTGAGAAGTCCTAGAATGAGGTAGCAGAAAAATTGGACAGTTCGGTCCAAGCTGAAGAAAAATTTTGGTCTGTGGCATATAACTCTTTAAGACTTTGGAGTATTTTGTCTGTGGCATATAACTCTTTAAGACTTTGGAGTCCTTGTAATTCTGTCTGCAACTTGATTACTAAAGCTGTGTGTTGGCTTAGTGTGCCTGCAACTCTATTTTGTGCTCCCGATTTATATTTCAAGATGAAACTAAATCGTTGTTGTAGGAAGGTGATCCACCTATTTACCGTCTTTTGGCTGTTAATAAATTGGAGTGCATGATTGTCGCTGATCAAGATGAAATCCTGTTGGAGCAAATAATTCTCCCATTGCTTCAATGCTCAGAAAATGGCATATAATTCTTGCTTATAGGCAGACCAACCCTGGCGGGCGGGACTCAACTTTTCACTGAAAAATTCAATGGGCCGATCTTATTGTGACAGGATAGCCCCGACGTCCACAGCTGTGTGCACATGAAACGGCTTGTCGAAGTCGGGAATGGCCAGCACCGGAGCTAAACTCAGTGCACATTTGATAGTTTCAAAACTATTTTGTTAATCTTGAGTCCAGTGCAGTGTTTTGTCCTTGTCCTTGAGACAATCCGTGAGGGGTGCCACATTTATGTTTCCGCGACTTAGTGCCTCTGATACCAATGTGGTGTGGAACCGCAAAACCTGTAGAGAAAAGAGAGAAGAACAGGGCAAGAATAAGACAGAGAATGAAGAAGAAGATGCTGAAAACGAGAAAGAGGATAATAAGCTGCTTTCAATATTTCATATCATGTGTGCACCTTCTGTATAATACTTCCTATATAACTACTAATTGATGTAAAAGGGAAATAACTAGAGAATGTTCTATGGTGGCCACTAGTTGGCATAAGCAATAAAACACAAATAAAGATAGTAGTGGAGGAAGCAAATTCAGTAAGTGTGGCAGAGGGTGGTATGCTGGTCCGTTGGGTCAGGATAGTCCACATCAATTCAGCTCTAGATTTATTGCAGAAATGCATAGCTGTCATTGAAATAAAATGTATTAATTTAAATTATTAAAGTTTATCATATAAAATTTTATATTATTAAATTCAATCTCCCTCTCTCTCTCTCCAGCTGCCATCATTCCCTCTCTCTCTCCCCCTTCTCTCTCCTTTAAGTTTTATGAGAGTAATACACTCTTTTAAATGGCTGTATCCCCTCTCTCTCTTATGTGAGAAGTACGTCAAATTGCACGGCGTATTTGCTCTTATTTAAATTTTATTTAATTAATGCTCTTTTTATTAATTTTGATAATAATGCTGCTCCTTTATAAAATTTCTCCAATGTATTATTTGACCGTATATCATAAAATATATTTTGTTTAGAAGTTGTTAGGAGTTGGCCTTTTATTGATTGATGTAGCTCAACATTTTTTTTGGGAAATTTTGGAGCCTTAGCTCATGTATTAATAAAACAGAAAGTTACAAGTAAAAGGAAATAAAAAACAATAAGAGAAGATCTCCATCGTTAAAGGAGAAATTCCCCATAAAAATCAAAACATAAAAAATCCAAAATACAAATGGGGTGAAGGAGGGGACTCAGGAAAACAAAGAGAGCATTACAAAATACATCAGAAATCAGTATACTTCAGACTGGCTAATAAACACCACCAATCAAAATTGGCCCCGGTTGCCACAGGCCAGCAAAAAAAGGGATCCAGAAACCAGGCACATGGGCCGTCCAAGGGACCAGAGAAAAACCGTCACTAGAGCCAGTCCCGCAATGCTCTCTTAACATCATCGTCCCGGCCAAAAAATACCTTCCAGCAAAATCTTGGAGATAACACCATCCATCGCAACTAAAATCATAAAATTCCAGCATATTTATGATTGAGCCTGTCCAAATTCTTCAATTTCTTCTTTTTCCCTCAAATAATAGACTTAATATCATCAGCCACCGCCATGGGAGAAAGCCAAATATTAGTGAACCGTCTACTGTTCCTCTCCCTCCAAATTTGATAAACAATACAAGCCATGATGGAGAAACAAAAATTTTTCTCTAAAGGAGAAGAACTGAGCGAAGAGTCCAGATAATCAAAAGCCATAAGAAGATTAGGCCATGATGTAGCTCAACATGACATGCATGTGCTTCCGTCAAAATCAAATCAATGATAGGCTCTATTTAAGCACCACGTTCAATTCTAAAGTGCTGATTTTTTATTTGCAGGAACAATCTTTTTAATTTTTATCAAATATTCTTAATATTATAATTAATAAGTCATAATTTTTCTAAACTAAAATAGTTTAACGGGTTAGATTCGGATTATTTGGGTCACATTCAAATTGACCTTTTTGACTAGTTTATAAAACGGGCTAAGTTCGACTTAACTGAATCAAGATCGGATTCAAATTCAACATATCAACTTAATTTGACAGCTCTATACTCATACGATTTTGCAAATATAGAGTAGTACTTGTAATGATACGTTAAGAGTTATAGAATTAATATATGGCTATTAAACTTGATAAATAATCCATTGCTCGTTTATATTTCACGTTATATCATTTATCGCATAGGGCCATTGCTTACCTTTCGATCTACCGACCAATTGATTGCAGACATACTTGGCCATTCTCTTTATTATGGAGCAGCAGAAGCTGTTTTTATTTTAAATTAAATTCTTATGCTGCTTCTATATGGTAATAAATTTTGGGCCTTTTTTTATTTTATTAATGTTTTAATACAAGATAAAATATATATTTAATATCTTATATTAGTTTTATATACACAGGCGGACCCACGTAATGTTCAGGGTGGGCAAATGCCCACCCTCAAAAAAAAAAAAAGTATATGAAGAGGGATAGTTTTGGTAATTTGCCCACCCTCAAAATACTCTTTGCCCTAATCTTTTAAACTCCTGCCAACGGTCCCTATTCCAGCCGCTCTTTATTTCGCAAAATCCCGCTTCCGCTCGGCAGTGAAGAGCACTCGTCTCCGCTCGGCAGTGGGGCATCTTCTTCGGCAAATCGCAAGCATTCTCCATTTTGGCCTGGAGTCCTCAACGTCTCCACCGGCTTCGTCTCCGCCGGCTTCGTCTTCGCGAGCGGTAGACGGCAGTCACCGCAAGCGCAGATCTCGCCGCTCGGCTCGCTCTTCGTGCTCACGACCTCAAGGTAACTCGCCAGTCGCCGCATTTCCTGTTGTTGTGTTTATTTTTCCTGTTATTGTGATAATCTGGCATTCATGAGGCATGAAAGAGGGCTTGAAAATCCTAAACCATGGTGCTACCTTGTTTAGATAGAAATTCTGTCATTTTCTTCAACTATACAGTGAAAATCAATAAGGTACTAAATGTATGCTTATGTTAGGATTAGTGTCGTACACAGCATGAAGAGCCAGGTTGATGGTGGATGTTAAGCATAACTAAGCTGCCTTGGTAAAACTTTGTTTCTTATGGTGATGGTATGACAACTTAGAGATGACCTATAGCTTAACATCCCTATTAGTTGTAGACTTGTATTACTTGTAGACTTGTAGAAACAGAAATTTCATTAAAAGGATACAACTCATTCTCAGTTAATGTCAACTTGATTGATATGTTTTAGATAGATTGCCTAACCAAAAAACTACTTATTTTACTAGAAATGGAAAGATTCTTGAAGCGAAAAGAACGTGTCGAAATTGATATTAACAATCTTCTAGCTGATCCTGGCCTTCGACCATCAATATGGAGTTATGATGTGAATGAGCGTGATAAAGTTCGTAGAGCTTATATGTTAAAAGGGCCGCATCAACCAAAAAATCATTGTTTCCCCCAAACAGTCATAGAAAATATTGCACGTAGGTTCAATTCAAAGTGGTTTGAAGAATTTTCTGATTGGATAGAATACAGTGTACAAAAAGATGCAGTATTTTGCCTATATTGCTATTTATTTAAGTCTCAAGATAAAGCTAGTACTTCCCAAGGT